GTGTTTACCATCACTGTTCTAGGCCATGTCATAATGTTGGAGTTCAACTTTTTCATTTTAGTATGCATTGCTGTCCGTAGTATAAAACCTATTGGAACACTTTTCGTGGCTATCTCGTTTAGAACATTCGGTGAAACAACAACTGTGTTTCATGCGACTGTATATTACAACTGTTGTTTCGTAGATTGTCTGAAAAGACAAACAATTTATCTTATTTTAATATAAGTATAGTAAATATGTAAATTGAAATAATGATTAGATAGAATCCAATCGAGTTAGCTAATCCAAGATTCGCTTTATTGATGATCAATTAGATATGCAAATGTACTGTGTATATGATGTGGTAAAGATATGATTGTAAATAACACGATCTATTTAGTTATTTGCTTTTTAATATTCTACAATGACTACGGTATTATTGTACTGGTGTTGTCACTGCCATTTGTGGCCGACAGCCGTACGGCTGGTCATAGCCGGACAAGCCAGTTTGTTTGATATTGATAGTCTGTTGACGTGTCGTCACTGACTAAACTAAATATTGATAAGTGCTTCCGTGCACGAAACTATTTTGGCAGATAATAAAAATCAAGGGAGGTAATAAGGTTAGTGATGTGCGTGTGTGTTGTACCAACGATGCTGGAATTGGATTGGATGGTTAGAGGGAGAAGGATACTAAAATGATATACCACTAACATCAAATTATGTACAGGATATGGTGTTAACGACATCCGGACACATTTTGTTCTCTTCTCTGATATAAAATCTTACCAATAAGGTCATTGGTCAACTGTTGAACAAAGATGGTTAATTGACAACAATTACTGGAAGCGGGAATACCAATGAGATGGCTTGGTCAGTAAGCGGCTTAGCATCGGGCTACGTGCAAATTGTCGACTTCCGCGTCTGATATATTGCCCTTTTAAGGCAGCATATCCTTTAGAATGATCGCTACACGGATGTTTCCTTATATGGCGTATGTTCTGCTATTGTAATAAATACCTAATGTAATACCGCGGAATTTTATCATGAACAGAATGGTCAGGGGATATTATCTCATTCTTTTATGGGATAAATCATATACGATATAGCTTTGTCACATTACGCTGCTGCTAATGTAATGTAAACGGAAAGGAAAAGAGAAACAAAAACCATGCATGAATATTGCATTGGCTTATAATAATGTTACTAATATATGAATACATCGTCATTTATATATAAACATGGAACTTCTGTTATCATAGTCTGATAATTGCCGTGTGTTTTGTTCGCGTAGCAATATCTATTAACGGTTTACGTAGCCGCGCCATAGAAACCACTAGTTCACCGCGCGGTGTCCTTACACACAGTGGCAGGGTTAATTATTAATGTCTCCGTAATATTTTCTAATTTCCACATATGAAGACAGATATCGACATACGACGGGGTTCAACTGTACTTAATGATGGATGTGGAATTTACACTCGCCTTCAATTAGCCATGTTTCCTTATTTGGTTAATACAAAATTAACCAATCAATTATGTACATATATATCTACGTTTATGTCTTACATGCTGGAGTGTATAAATCATATATCCTTGTCCATAACTGTAACGGTACATAATAATCGAGATGTCTACGTTTCAAAACGAGGAAAACAAAAATAAATCCGATAATATTAACAATAAAAGATAACACTGATTTAGCTAGGGTTAATTTGTAACATACAAGGCCCGGAAAATAATCTGGAGGATGTCTCCATAGGCAATGTAGATACCACGTGATACATTCAGTTTACAATTTAATACCTGACGCAGGTATTTCTTCTTCTTATTATTTTATATAGTTTTGATATTTTCTGTTGGTCATACCACAGTCAGAACGAGTTGTTATTGATTACGAGTAACCACGCCTACAACAAATGGTAACACTTTTTAACAGAATTGAAAATATATATACTAATAATATACTAAGGACAAGACAGTGACTTAAGATTGATAATTCATAAACATTATGTTTCACATGTACCTTGTCTTGGAATCGAACTCACCATATGTGTCTCTAAATCGCATTGCTGAGAAACACACTTGAAAATAAAAAGGGAGTGAGTAATTTTGTTTCACAATGATAAGTAGCACAATACTTTCAACATTTTTGAAGAAAAAAACATTTGACACTTGAATTTGTTTTCTGAGGATGGAGCATTAATAATGCAAAAGTCAATAATAGTTAAAATTCAAAGATACGTGTGTGTTGATGCCAGTTTTCATGTATAAACAGGTAATTAAACGGGAACGCCTACGGAGCTAGAACTATTCAAACATTTCTAATTCTGTGAACGACATTTTTAATTCGATTGACACGTATGAAAATACTGGGTGTGTGATGCCCTGTCTTTTCAGTCATGCCTGTCTCATGTTTGGTTGGTACTGTACACCATGTACACGACAAATATCGTGATAGCGACCTCTACAGGGACAAAATGGCGTTAATTGTCGGTGTATTTTAGATATTGTATGATTTGTAGCTGTATGTAGAAGATAATATCGTGATTGTTATTGTACCGTTTTGGTGTTATCTGTGAAAACACCGATATGCATCCGAAATTGTATATCTATTTTTAAACAATGAGATTAATTTCTCCCGTGGTTCATTGCGTTTTTCTCACCGGATGACGGTCCACACGCGTTGTTGGGGTTTAGTTTCGAACTTAATTATAACCGGATGTGCCTGTGTGTAAATTATCGCGTCACGCCATGTTTATATTTCTAAGTATGTCTGGAACACATTTGGGACCTAGACGGGACCCTGGACACGTGTTAGTCATTTCAGACAGAAAATTCGGAAAGGTTCAAACGGTTTCGGACTTATCAATCGGATTGACGAGATATACCAAAGGTTATAGCAATATATTACTGTAAACATGTGACTGGATATCTATATTTATACATAAGCGCGTGCTCTAATAGATGTTTCCGAATATACACTCTAAAACGTTCATTACAAAACTGATTCTAAATTATTTCAACAAATGATTGATATATTTACAGTGATTGCTGAAGTGATTCTATTCATTGGCTCTTGTCAATTATAAATGACTTGTATTGTTATCTTAACTTTGTCATCAGAGACTGCCTGTAGTTTATCTGTCTGTTAATATATTACATGTGATACACTTTCTGATAGGTTTATACGACACGTGCGTCGAATTTAGAGATAAAATGCGTTAAAGCTACAATGTTAACATATCTGGAAATCAAACGTGTAACGTTGATCAACAACCGCTGGAGACATTGCCCTTAATGGCCAATTTAGTACGAAACGAAGTGGTGGTGATGACAGACATTTGGATATCACTAATTTTCAGTGTATGAAGATTTATGAGGTGGCTATTTGTACACGTATAATTTAGTGTCTATCCTATCGTGATTGGAACAATTTTGATACACGTAAATTGTGATGTCCATTAAACCGATATTTTTAGCATCACAATGCAAGTGTTCATTCCCTAATATATCAATATTACATCTCTTCTAATATTTATGTATTTCTAATATTTCCTACTTCTAATTTAATCTTACTGACAAATTTATTTCCACCTCTCCCTCTCCTCTTCAGCTCTATTTCCACTCCAACATCCCCGCACTACTCCCACTCCAATATCCCCGCACTGCTCCCACTCCAACATCCCCGCTCTACTCCAACTCCAACACCCCCAGCTCTACTCCCACTCCAACATCCCCGCTCTACTCCCTCTCCAACACCTCCGCTCTACTCCCACTCCAACACCCCCGCTCTACTCCCATCTAGCATCCCCGTTCTACACCCACTCCAACACCCCCGCTCTACTCCCACTCCAACATCCCCGCTCTACTCCCATCTAGCATCCCCGTTCTACACCCACTCCAACACCCCCGCTCTACTTCCACTTCAACACCCCCGTTCTACACCAACTCCAACACCCCCCGCTCTACTCCCACTAAAACACCTCCGTCCTTTCCCCACTCCTACACCTGACTCTACACCCACTCCAACATCCCCGCTCTACTCCCACTCCAACCCCCATCCCCCTACCGACTCTACACCCACTTCAACAACCCAGATCTACTCCCACTCCAATACCTCCGTTCTACTCCCACTTCAACACCCTGGCTCTACTCCCACTCCAACATCTCCCACTCTACTCCCACTCAAACATCCCCGCTCCTCTCCCATGCCAACACTTCCGTCCCATTCCCACTCCAACAACCCCCGCTCTACTCCCACTCCGACATCCCCGCTCTACTTTCACTCCAACAACCCCGCTCTACTCCCACTCCAACACCCCCGCTCTACTTTCCATCCAACATCCCTGCTCTACTCCCATTCCAACATCCCCGCTCTACTCCCACTCCAACAACCCCCGCTCTACTTTCCCTCCAACATCCCGCTCTACTCCCACTCCAACATCCCCGCTCTACTCCCACTCAAGCATCCCCGCTCTACTCCAACTCCAACATCCCCGTTCTACTCCCACTCCAGCATCCCCGCTCTACTCCCACTCCAACAACCCCCACTTTACTTTCACTCCAACAACCCCGCTCTACACCCACTCAAACATACCCGCTCTACTCCAACTCCAACATCCCCGCTCTACTCCCACTCCAACATCCCCGCTCTACTCCCGCTCTAACACCCCCACTCTGCTCCCACTCCAACATCATCGCTCTACTCCCACTCCAACATCCCCGCTCTGCTCCCACTCCAACATCCCCGCTCTACTCCCACTCCAACATCCCCACTCTACCCCCACTCCAACATCCCCGCTCTACTCCCTCTCCAACACCCCCGCTCTGCTCCCACTCCAACATCCCCGCTCTACTCCCACTCCAACATCCCGCTCTGCTCCCACTCCAACAACCCCGCTCTACTCCCACTCCAACAACCCCCGCTCTACTCCCACTCCGACATCCCCGCTCTACTTTCACTCCAACAACCCCGCTCTACTCCCACTCCAACATCCCCGCTCTACCTTTCATCCAACATGCCTGCTCTACTCCTATTCCAACATCCCCGCTCTACTCCCACTCCAACAACCCCCGCTCTACTTTCCCTCCATCATCCCGCTCTACTCCCACTTCAACATCCCCGCTCTACTCCCACTCAAACATCCCCGCTCTACTCCCACTCAAACATCCCCGCTCTACTCCCACTCAAACATCCCCGCTCTACTCCCTCTCCAACACCCCCGCTCTGCTCCCACTCCAACATCCCGCTCTACTCCCACTCCAACATCCCCGCTCTACTCCCACTCAAACATCCCCGCTCTACTCCCACTCAAACATCCCCGCTCTACTCCCACTCCAACAACCCCCGCTTTACTTTCACTCCAACAACTCCCCTCTACACCCACTCAAACATCCCCGCTCTACTCCCACTCCAACATCCCCGCTCTACTCCCCCTCCAACACCCCCGCTCTACTCCCACTCCAACATCCCCGCTCTACCCCCACTCCAACATCCCCGCTCTACTCCCACTCAAACATCCCCGCTCTACTCCCACTCCAACATCCCCGCTCTACTCCCACTCCAACATCCCGCTCTACTCCCACTCCAACAACCCCGCTCTACTCCCACTCCAACAATTACGTTCTGCTCCCACTCACAATAGCACCACATCATCAAGGACTACGTCTGATAAGAGGTTGGTGATCGTCAGATTTATGTCAGAATTGATCACTTTTGAAATAAAAAAAATCTTATGATTCATGTTCATGCTCAAACAATAGTACCACACCGTCAAGTTCTACACATGAATAAATTTTTTGAGTATAGGTCTATGTCAAGATCAGTGTTGACCTTTTAAACAAATATCTTGTGCTCGAGATGTTTCATTTACCTATCTCTAGATTTCGTTCATATTCACACCATAGCATTGCGCCGTCAAGTTTTATATTTGATTAATATCAAAAGTCAACCCTGACCCCAAGGGACGGTATATAAAACAGTCACACTTGTACCAGTATATGTTATATCTCAGGAAAGCTATACTCCTTAACACAACTATTACAAAAACATTTATTTCGTTAATAGATGTCTATATGAAAGTCCTTTTGGATATAAAAAAGCAGTACATATATATGCCTAGCTACAAATGTACCTATCGACACACTCTCGTATATTTTATCAACGTCATTTGACACTCGTTGGAACCTGCTATCTCGCAGATAAATAAGTTATTTTCATAGTTTTAATTTGTATCTGTCTGAAGACGTTCCCGCGAGGTTTTAAATAAAATATAATGAGAAAAATGATAACTTTCCCTGTTTAGCAAGCTGTATTGGGAGACAAAATCAACCTACATCATCTTAGACGTAATTTTCTAGACGATGCCGTGCGACTGGTTATATAATTTATTATGAAATAAGCAAGTCAGCGTTGGAGCTCCGATGTATAACATTGTAAAGGGATGCTTTAGTGATATCTTTGTCCATTTTCTATCATTGGTGCAAAGCTTATACATGTTTTCTTTTCCTTTTAAACGAAACAAAAATTACATGAATTAATGTATGTTTGTAAATAATACTAATACTGACATCACTATGTACAAAGAAAAAATTCTCTCTTTAAAGGCGGTAGTTGTTCATTATATTTAAATACCTTTGACCTTTGAACGACATTACACGTGCACCCCGGATTCAGGTGTATCGGAAGTGCAGGAGAAGGGCGTCGCCATGTCTATGATATTGTCAGTGTTTATGGATCCCCGAGTCCTGTCTATGATATTGTCAGTGTACATGGATCCCCGAGTCCTGTCTATGATATTGTCAGTGTACATGGATCCCCAAGTCCTGTATATGATATTGTCAGTGTACAATGATCCCCGAGTCCTGTCTATGATACTGTCCGTGTACATGGATAATTGAGTGCTGTCTATGATACTGTCAGTGAACATGGATCCCTGAGCCCTGTCTATGATATTGTCAGTGTACATGGATCCCTGTCTACGATATTGTCAGTGTACATGGAGCCCTGTCTATGATATTGTCAGTGTACATGGATCCCTGTCTATGACATTGTCAGTGTTTATGTATCCCCAAGTCCTGTATATGATATTGTCAGTGTTTATGGATCCCCGAGCCCTGTGTATGCTATTGTCACAGTACATGGATCCCCGAGCCCTGCCTATGATATTGTCAGTGTACATGGATCCCTGTCTACGATATTGTCAGTGTACATGGATCCCCGAGTCCTGTCTATGATATTGTCAGTGTACATGGATCCCCGAGTTCTGTGTATGATACTGTCAGTGTACATGGATATCCGAGTCCTGTCTATGATATTGTCAGTGTACATGGATCTCCGAGTCCTGTCTATGATATTGTCAGAGTACATGGATATCCGAGTCCTGTCTATGATATGGGTCAGTGTACAATGATCCCCGAGTCCTGTCTATGATATTGTCAGTGTACATGGATCCCCGAGTTCTGTGTATGATATTGTCAGTGTACATGGATCCCTGAGTCCTGTCTATGATATTGTCAGTGTACATGGATCCCTGTCTACGATATTGTCAGTGTACATGGATCCCCGAGTCCTGTCTATGATATTGTCAGTGTACATGGATCCCCGAGTTCTGTGTATGATATTGTCAGTGTACATGGATCCCTGAGTCCTGTCTATGATATTGTCAGTGTACATGGATCCCTGTCTACGATATTGTCAGTGTACATGGATCCCCGAGTCCTGTCTATGATATTGTCAGTGTACATGGATCCCTGAGCTCTGTCTATGATATTGTCAGTGTTTATGGATCCCCGAGCCCTGTCTATGATATTGTCAGAGTACATGGATCCCGGAGCCCTGTCTATGATATTGTCAGTGTACATGGGTCCCCGAGCCCTGTCTATGGTATTGTCAGTGTACATGGATCTCCGAGTCCTGTCTATGATATTGTCATTGTACATGGATCCCCGAGCCTTGTCTATGATATTGTCATTGTACATGTATACCCGTTCTATGTCTACGTGCCCTGTGTAGGTTATTAACAGTAAAGCTGGACCCTGAGCGACGTGTAAGATATTGACAGTGAATCTTGATTCCGTGCCCTGTGTAAGGTATTTTCAGTGAATCTTGATTCCGTGCCCTGTATAAGGTATTGATAATGAATCTTGATTCCTCGCCCAGTATAAGGTATTGACAGTGAATCTTGATTCCTCGCCCTGTATAAGGTATTGACAGTGAATCTTGATTCCGTGCCCTGTATAAGGTATTGACAGTGAATCTTGATTCCTTGCCCCGTACTAGGTATTGACAGTGAATCTTGATTACTCGCCCTGTACTAGGTATTGACAGTGAATCTTGATTACTCGCCCCGTACTAGGTATTGACAGTGAATCTTGATTCCTCGCCCTGTATAAGGTATTGACAGTGAATCTTGATTCCGTGCCCTGTATAAGGTATTGACAGTGAATCTTGATTCCTTGCCCCGTACTAGGTATTGACAGTGAATCTTGATTACTCGCCCCGTACTAGGTATTGACAGTGAATCTTGATTCCTCGCCCTGTATAAGGTATTGACAGTGAATCTTGATTCCGTGCCCTGTATAAGGTATTGACAGTGAATCTTGATTCCTTGCCCCGTACTAGGTATTGACAGTGAATCTTGATTACTCGCCCTGTACTAGGTATTGACAGTGAATCTTGATTCCTCGCCCTGTATAAGGTATTGACAGTGAATCTTGATTCCGTGCCCTGTATAAGGTATTGACAGTGAATCTTGATTCCTTGCCCCGTACTAGGTATTGACAGTGAATCTTGATTCCGTGCCCGGTATAAGGTATTGACAGTGAATCTTGATTCCGCGCCCTGTATAAGGTATTGACAGTGAATCTTGATTCCTTGCCCCGTACTAGGTATTGACAGTGAATCTTGATTCCGTGCCCGGTATAAGGTATTGACAGTGAATCTTGATTCCGTGCCCTGTATAAGGTATTGACAGTGTATCTTGATTCTTCGCCCTGTATAAGGTATTGACAGTGAATCTTGATTCCGTGCCCTGTATAATGTATTGACAGTGAATCTTGATTCCGCGCCCTGTATAAGGTATTGACAGTGAATCTTGATTCCGCGCCCTGTATAAGGTATTGACAGTGAATCTTGATTCCGTGCCCTGTATAAGGTATTGACAGTGAATCTTGATTCCTTGCCCCGTACTAGGTATTGACAGTGAATCTTGATTCCGTGCCCGGTATAAGGTATTGACAGTGAATCTTGATTCCGTGCCCTGTATAAGGTATTGACAGTGTATCTTGATTCTTCGCCCTGTATAAGGTATTGACAGTGAATCTTGATTCCTTGCCCCGTACTATGTATTGACAGTGAATCTTGATTCCGTGCCCGGTATAAGGTATTGACAGTGAATCTTGATTCCGTGCCCTGTATAAGGTATTGACAGTGTATCTTGATTCTTCGCCCTGTATAAGGTATTGACAGTGAATCTTGATTCCTTGCCCTGTATAAGGTATTGACAGTGAATCTTGATTCCGCGCCCTGTATAAGGTATTGACAGTGAATCTTGATTCCTTGCCCCGTACTAGGTATTGACAGTGTATCTTGATTCTTCGCCCTGTATAAGGTATTGACAGTGAATCTTGATTCCGTGCCCTGTATAAGGTATTGACAGTGAATCTTGATTCCGCGCCCTGTATAAGGTATTGACAGTGAATCTTGATTCCTCACCCTGTATAAGGTATTGACAGTGTATCTTGATTCCTCGCCCTGTATAAGGTATTGACAGTGTATCTTGATTCCTCGCCCTGTATAAGGTATTGACAGTGAATCTTGATTCCTTGCCCCGTACTAGGTATTGACAGTGAATCTTGATTCCGTGCCCGGTATAAGGTATTGACAGTGAATCTTGATTCCGTGCCCTGTATAAGGTATTGACAGTGTATCTTGATTCTTCGCCCTGTATAAGGTATTGACAGTGAATCTTGATTCCTCGCCCTGTATAAGGTATTGACAGTGAATCTTGATTCCTTGCCCCGTACTAGGTATTGACAGTGAATCTTGATTCCGTGCCCGGTATAAGGTATTGACAGTGAATCTTGATTCCGTGCCCGGTATAAGGTATTGACAGTGAATCTTGATTCCGTGCCCTGTATAAGGTATTGACAGTGAATCTTGATTCCTCACCCTGTATAAGGTATTGACAGTGAATCTTGATTCCTCACCCAGTATAAGGTATTGACAGTGAATCTTGATTCCTCACCCTGTATAAGGTATTGACAGTGAATCTTGATTCCGTGCCCGGTATAAGGTATTGACAGTGAATCTTGATTCCTCACCCTGTATAAGGTATTGACAGTGAATCTTGATTCCGCGCCCTGTATAAGGTATTGACAGTTAATCTTGATTCCGTGCCCTGTATAAGGTATTGACAGTGAATCTTGATTCCGCGCCCTGTATAAGGTATTGACAGTGAATCTTGATTCCTTGCCCCGTACTAGGTATTGACAGTGTATCTTGATTCTTCGCCCTGTATAAGGTATTGACAGTGAATCTTGATTCCGTGCCCTGTATAAGGTATTGACAGTGAATCTTGATTCCGTGCCCTGTATAAGGTATTGACAGTGAATCTTGATTCCTCACCCAGTATAAGGTATTGAC